GAGCTCCATAGTGGTCTGATCCCTGAGCAAGCACACGTCAGTCGTGGTGAACAATCCGTTTTTTGCAGGTGGGGTGATGAGGGAAGGAGAGGGAGAGGGAGTGAGAGGGAGACCAGCCGATGTAGAAGTCAGTGATTTTGCCTCCCAGAGGTGTCGCTTGGAATGAGGGGCCTGTTCGTGTTTCTGTCCTCCCTGCTATTAATCAAACAACCCAAGGGGCGAGGGACATGGTTGGCCTGGGCAGGGTTCAGATATCTGACTCGTGGACCGCGCGCGTGGTAAGCAGAGCCACTTGACACTTCATCACCTCCATCCGGAACATAGCAAGGACTTATTCATGGCACAATCTCACAACTGTAGCCTCAAAAGTCAAAATCTAACCTCTCTCCTCTTCAAGATCGCCTCGCAAAAACAAACGTTGCACTGCGCATTCGTTAGCACTTTTTGGCTCTATTCGTTGATATTTTAATATAGCCTAGCCCTGCATTTAGCCCTGCGTTATTCCAAACTTTAGCTCATAGAAGTAAATTATTCGAAGCTATTTCCTGCTTCAAATCAAGTAAATTTATCCTATCAGACCGAGGAATAGCGCCTGAAACGCTTTTTTCAATGTTGTGATGCAGTCAGGTGCATGAGGTCAAACTTTTTGACAAAATGCAAAGTGGAGGTCAACAAAAGAACCTCCAACACTTTTCGAGCAGCCTCACACCAAATAAATTTCGTACAGTCGTTTTCAAACTTGCTGGCAATGCGACCTGCTGTTGGCGCTCGTTTCCTCTACCCCTCTCACAGTCCCTCAGTCTTCGGGTAGCCCCGCCCGATGAATGACCTGTTATTAATAGTGGCTCCGCATCGGCCTCTTATGTGCACTATTTCGCCCTTGTCATTACACTGGCCATTCGGTGTAGCTAATTCCTCCCTGCAGAACTACTTTATGAACGATTCTCAACACAAAATTTGCATTACTTTTGTTTGAGGAGAAGGAAAAGCACATCCTACCGCCCTCGATGGACCTGGGTGGTCTCGGGCGTTTTTATCGATTTATTCTGCACAAGAGATTTATGCCGACTTTATCTCTGTAGCTGACTAATTACATTTCCTATGAATGCGTTCAATATTCTGCTGTTTCGAAGCATTGTAATTTTCGAAAAAACTTATTTGAGTCAGTTACGCAGCAGTTTTGTACTACAACTTTTTTCTCAAAAAATAATACCAATAATTTCAACCCAATGACCTGAATCGCTGTATTGCGCAGTTTTTAATATTAAAATATTATTTCCTTCGAAGGTCTATCGGTTGCCTAGTCTTAAGTGCGCGGCCTGCACTTCGGGTAAAAGCTGGGGTAGAAGCACATGTGAAAGAATTTTGAGCTATTTTGACACCATTTTCGTAGCGCATGGAATCGAAAAGCCCTGATATGGAGTCTGTTTGGAATTTAAACGTCATGAGTTTACTATTGATTATGCTCACGCCTTTTTTCGTCAAGCATTTCGCACAGTTGTTGTTGCGTCGGACTTTTCAAAATCGCTAAATAGCCTTTCTTTCATTTCACAAAACGTCCTAACTGTTTCATGCTATTATCTGCAATTCGCAGAGTTATTCCGTCAATATTCTTTTTTTCTCGCAAATTGAAAGATCTGGGCACAGAGCTGCTTGTCGCTTTTTGTTTAGGTCGA